TGTGAAAAGGTGGAATATTCTCGGCTCAAAGTGTCCCACTCTAATCAGATAATTAAGCCATAACACCTGCAAAGGGTTCCTGAGCCTTTAAATGGTCTCTCAGCCTGGTTCAGTAGGAATCACAATCATGGGAAAGACTGCTGTCCTGACACCATCACTGACACCCTCCATAAGGAGGGAAAGCCTCAAAAGGTAATTGCAAAAGAAGTTGGATGTTCCCAAAGTGCTGTATCAAAGCACATTAATAGAAAGTTATGTGCAAGGGAAAAGTGTGGAAGAAAAAGGTGCACAAGCAGCAGGGATGACCGCAGGCTGGAGAGGATTGTCAGGAAAAGGCTATTCAAAAGTGTTGGGGACTTTCACAAGGAGTGGACTGAGGCTGGAGTCAGTGCATCAAGAGCCACCACACACAGACGGATCCTGAACATGGCTTCAAATGTCGTATTCCTCTCATCAAGCCACTCCTCAACAACAAACAATGTCAGAAGCGTCTTACCTGGGCTAAAAAAAAACAGACCTGGTCTGGTGCTCAGTCGTCCAAAGTCCTCTCTTCTGATGAGAGCAAATTTTGCATCTCATTTGGAAACCAAGGACCCAGAGTATGGAGGAAGAATGGAGAGGCCCAAGGACCCCGAGTAGGAGGAAGAATGGAGAGGCCCAAGGACCCAGAGTATGGAGGAAGAATGGAGAGGCACAAGGACCCCGAGTATGGAGGAAGAATGGAGATGCCCAAGGACCCCGAGTATGGAGGAAGAATGGAGAGGCACAAGGACCCCGAGTATGGAGGAAGAATGGAGAGGCCCAAGGACCCCGAGTATGGAGGAAGAATGGAGAGGCACACACTGCAAGATGCTTGAAGTCCAGTGTGACGTTTCCACAGTCTGTGTTGATTTGGGGAGCCATGTCATCTGCTGGTGTTGGCCCACTGTGCTTCATTAAGTCCAGGGTCAATGCAGCCGTCTACCAGGAGATTTTGGAGCACTTCATGCTTCCTTCCGCAGACGAGCTTTATGGGATGCTGACTTCATTTTCCAGCAGGACTTGGCACCTGCCCACACTGCCAAAAGCACCAAAACCTGGTTCAATGACCGTGGGATTACTGTGCTTGATTGGCCAGCAAACTCGCCTGACCTGAACCCAATAGAGAATCTATGGGGCATTGCCAAGAGAAAGATGAGAGACATGAGACCGAACAATGCAGAAGAGCTGAAGGCCGCTATTGAAGCATCCTGGTCTTCCATAACACCTCAGCAGTACCACAGGCTGATAGCTTCCATGCCACGCCACATTGAGGCAGTAATTGGCTGCAAAAGGGGCCCAAACCAAGTACTAAGTACATATGCAGCTTCTACTTTTCAGAGGTCCGATATTGTTCTATGTACAATCCTTGTTTTATTGATCGCATGGAATATTGTCATTTTCTGAGATTGTGGATTTGGGGTTTTCATGAGCTGTAAGCCATAATCATCACAATGACAACAAATCACGGCTTGAACTATCTTGCTTTGCAGGTAATGAGTCTCATATATTAGTTTCACCTTTTAAGTTGCTGCACTGAAATAAATGAACTTTTGCACGATATTCTAATTTTTCAAGTTTCACCTGTATGTTCTTAAACTCTTATATTACTTTCACACCCTCCCGGTTTAGATCTTAGATCTCCTCTGTGATGGTTCGATCCCCACAATGCCAAATCGTGCCATTGCATAATGCCAGGTCTTGGCTGAGCAGATCTATCCTTGATAAAAGCAAACAATCAGGTGGCTTTAGTTTCCCACATCTCCAAAAATAATATCAAGTTTCCCAACTAGCTTACATAACAAAATATCATGCCTGAACTGAAACTCTCACTTGATTATCCCTGGAAGCCCTGAGTTGTGACAATGTCTATAAGGATAACCTATTTTGACTCCACCCATCAGTCAGATGCTTTATTTCTAACCCTGTTACAAGCTCACCTTAAGAATCAGATGCAGTCTAGTTCTCTGCTAATTTATTTCTCCAAATAACCCCTTATGGACCTAAAACCATATATATATAATATCCATTTCAAATTCTGCTTGCCCTAAAAAGTAAATGTAACAACTGCAATATTCTTGTTCGTTAACCACTTGCCATCCACCCGTATATCAGAAGCACTGAATCACTTATATATACGTGATTTCCTTGTAGGGGGCACATTCGCCCTACCTGCAGCGCTATTGGCAGCTGGGGATGTCAATCACCGGGTCCTGGCCGGCAATTCCGGTCTGGCATTCAGTGATCCTCGGCAAAGCTGACAGGGAAGAGACCTGTGTGTAAACATACAGATCTCTCTCCTGCCAGCAAGGACATGCTGCTTTGTATTTCTCTGCCTATCTAGTGCACCTGTTGTTAATTTAATTACCACCAAAGCAGCTGAAACTGATTAAAAAAACCCTCTGCTACTTAACTGACCAGATCAACATCCCAGGAGTTTAACTGAGTTGATTCTATACTCTGATTAAAAAGTGTTCCTTTGAGCAGTGTATATGCAATTCTAGGTCATGAATGATGCTGTGGAACAACTTCCTTTCTTTGTGACTGATAGCAAGGAGTTTGCAGTGGATGGAACTGTAAACACCAGACCTTCTATCTTTGCTAAGCTCAGCAAAAAGGGTTCCCAGAACTCCAGCAACAAGAAAATTATAAACATTGGATGGTCTGATATATTGCAGCTGTACATGCTTAAAACAGAAAGGAACTTTTAGCAGGTAGGCTGTGTCCAAACACCACATGGTAATATTCAAAAGATGCATTGTTACCTCATCAGATACTGTAGGGTTTCCTGTTCATTGGTAATTAACCTGTGTAATAAGTCTTTGGATTCCACCTGTGCAGCCAATAAATCAAAAGGATTGCAACAGGTTTTTACTCCTAGATTGCAAGCTCCCAGGATCGGGCCCTCCTAATGCACACCATAGCTGGGGAGAAAACCGGCCGATTTTTCTTTAAAAAAACGAAAAATCGGTCGTTCAAGCGGCCGACGTTACCAGGAATGGTAAAAAAAATCGGACAGTTTTCATCCCATCTACAGCCGGCAAAAAATGTCTCTGCAGAGAGCTCCGCTATTTCTTTGACAGTGCTTTGACATTTATAGCGGCTGCAACAATGTATCTATTTGTATCCATTTCGGATACAGATGTTTTTATTTGCTCTCTGCAGGGAAACTTTTTGCCGGACTGGAATTCTTCTTCTTCTTCATCCTCTTCTTCATCCTCTTCTTCTTCATCCTCTTCTTCTTCTCATCCTCTTCTTCTTCATCCTCTTCTTCTTCTTCATCCTCTTCTTCATCCTCTTCTTCTTCTTCCTCGTCTTCTTCCTCTTCTTCTTCATCTTCTTCATTCTCTCTTCTTCTTCATCCTCTTCTTCATCCTCTTCTTCTTCCTCTTCTTCTTCCTCTTCTTCTTCCCTCCTCTTCTTTTTCCTCTTCCTCTTCTTCATCCTCTTCTTCATCTTCTTCATCCTCTTCTTCTTCTTCTTCTTCTTCATCCTCTTCTTCATCCTCTTCTTCATCCTCTTCTTCTTCATCCTCTTCTTCTTCTTCATCTTCTTCTTCTTCTTCTTTGTCTCTTCATCCTCCTCTCTTCTTTTTGTCTTCCTCTTGCAGGTCACTGCTCATGCGCAGATTTTGTATCGGTAAAAAGATCGGCCGATTTGCCCGCGAAAATTGGCCGATCGGCAAAATCGGCCGATCTTTTTCCAACTTTACCAATAAAAAAATCTGCCAAAATACCAAAAAACGGCCGAACAATTAGCCCACTAACGATCCGAAAATCAGCCGATTTTATTTTCGGCCGAAAAATCAGCCGATTTTCGACCCATCTATGGCCTGCATAACCCTCTTGTATTGATCTGTATTGTTGCTGTATTGTCTCCCGTTATATTGTAAAGAGCTGAGCAAACTGTTGGTGCCATAAATCCTGTATAATAATAATAATAATATATAAATCCTGTATAATAATAATATAAATCCTGTATAATAATAATATATAAATCCTGTATAATAATAATATATAAAATCCTGTATAATAATAATAATAATATATAAATCCTGTATTATAATAATAATAATAATAACTTGAACATTTCACACAAAAATAATTTCTTGCATATGCATCATTTAAAAATGTTCAGTGTTTTCAAGATTCTCTTGCCTTCCTATAATTGAAGCTCTCCACTAAGATGAGGTTCACTCTCTCAATCAACATGGACTATTTTTAATCCTTGCGCTGATAGCATTAGTAAATAGATAGGAAAGTACAGTATATCATATATTTTTCATTTCTTTAGTTACTCCCTGGTTCCCATGCCTAGGTACTCAAGATGGCCATGGCCAGAAACACTAGGGGGGGGTTCAAAGTTATTTCTCATCTAAATAAAGCCTGGAGACATGGAGGGGTGGGTTTGCTTTGAATATTAAACATAATTAAACATAATTTTTGGTTTGTGGTGGCCAGATACAGTGTATTCCCACTTTAACCTCTTGCCGACCGCGCATAGCCGAATGACGGCTTCACCGCGGCCGGCCAGTTCTGGGTGAACGTCATATGACGTCCTCCCAGAACGCGCTCTCCTGCGCGCCCCAGGGGGCGCGCACCCGGCGATCTCCGTGATCGCTGTGTCCTACGGACACAGCTGATCACGTGATGTGGTAAAAGGCCAATCACAGCGCCTTTTACCACGTGATCAGCGGTGTCCAATGACACGCTGATCAGAGGGAAATGCAAGTGCCGGTTCTCGGCTGCACTTTCCTCACACTGTCAGATCGTGAGGAAAGTACTGCCGAGAACCGGCAGTTGTCAGAGCGGGGATCGGCACCGATCATCAGGGCACTGATGATCAGTGCCCTGATGATTGGTGCCCAGCAGTGACACCCGCAAGTTCCGCCCAGCAGTGCGCCCACTAGCTCCGCCCACCCGTGCCCAGCAGTGCACCCACCTGTGCCCAGCAGTGCCCCCACCTGTGCCCAGCAGTGCACCCACCTGTGCCACTCTGCAGTGCCACCTACCTGTGCCCAGAAGTGCCACCTACCTGTGCCCAGCAGTGCCACCCACCTGTGCCCACCCACCTGTGCCCACCAGTGCCACCCACCTGTGCCCACCCACCAGTGCTGCCCACCAGTGCCACCCACCAGTGCAGCCCAGCAGTGCTGCCAGTCAGTGCCCAGGGGTTGTGCCAGTCAGGGCCGCCCAGTCAGTGCCACCAGTCAGTGCCACCAGTCAGTGCCCAGGGGTTGTGCCAGTCAGTGCCGCCAGTCAGTGCCCAGCAGTGATGCCAGTCAGTGCCGTCTATCAGTACCCATAATCAGTGTCACCTATCAGTGCCGCCTATCAGTGCTGCATATTAGTGCCGCCTATCCGTGACCCCTAATTAGTGCTGTCTATCAGTGCCGCCTATCCGTGCCACCTCATTAGTACTGCCTATCAGTGCCCTTTAGTGCTGCCTATCAGTGCCCATCAGTGCCGCCTATCAGTGCCCATCAGTGCTGCCTCATCAACGCACATCAGTGAAGGAGAAAAAATACCTGTTTGAAAAATTTTATAAAAGAAACAAATAAACTTTTTTTTTTTTTCAAATTTTTTGCACATTTTTTAATTTATAGCGCAAAAAGTAAAGCGCCCAGTGGCGATTAAATACCACCAAAAGAAAGCTCTATTTGTGAGAAAAAAATGATCAAAATTTCATATGGGTACAATGTTGCATGACCGCGCAATTGTCAATCAAAGTGCGGCAGCGCTGAAAGCTGAAAATTGGCCTGGTAAGGAAGGGGGTAGAAGTGCCCGGTAGGCGAGGGGTTAATGTATGTTATATTAAAAGTACACAAAAGCTGAAAGTCTATCTAGATGTGTAGAAAACAAGCAAAGATATTACCATTTGCTATACAGGATGATTTATTATTTTGGAGATTTATGTTAACATAATTATTGTCAAAAGGCACACTAATATATAAAATACTAACCCCTTGCTGTCTGGGACCATTATTTTATTTTTCACATGCATGTTAAAATCGCATACTTAAAACCCCCAAACATTTTATACTTTCTGAAAGCAGAGGCCATGTAGAATAAAATGGTTTCAGTTACAATTTTATAGGTCGCACAATATTTGCACAGCTGTTTATCAAATTAAAATTTTCTGGAAAAAAAATACACTAAAATTAATTTTTGGTGCATACAAACACATTATAATACCCATTTGTTTGGTAAAATATAAAAGATGGGGGTTGCATCCATTATAGGGTATCCGTTTAGAGTTAATCATAAATGATGGCCCTAACAGTATTGGTCTCAGTCTGGCATTTGTGGTGATACATCACTTGTGTGGTGCAATCACTGTTTACATATGTGTGTGGGTCCTGTGCACGCATTTCCATTTGTTTGTATTATACTTTGGGGGGAGTGCGATTTTTTGTTTTAAATCGTTTTTATTTATTTTGTTAAAAAAAATTTTTCTGCACTTTTTATCATTTAATTTTATTGCTTTTACATGAATGGGGGGGGGGGGGCGGGCTCACAAGCCCTCTATGCAATAGCATGGGCAGGTGACAGATACTGTTTATGGAGACATCAGCGGTCTATTAGACCCCAATGTCTCTCCTGCTCTTCAAAGTAGCTGATCAAGTACAGATAAAACACTTGATCAGCATCATCCTTGGTTATAACAATGACAGCTCTGAAACTGAAATCCTAGTCGCTTCTGACGTCTTCATTAGCCACATAGGAGATCAGGGAAAGGATATTCCTCCATATCCTTTGTGTGAAGCCATCCCAGCCATTTACCATGGCCCCGGGCTTCCTGGAGGAACAGGAGAGCCCATGAACTATTGCAGGCATCTGCAATAGGTGGACAGCTCTTCTCAGCACTGCAAACGTGATCAGTTGGTTGTAGTGGCACCACAGTGGTGCCCAGGGGCGGACAGACAACTCATGGGGCCCCCGGGCAATAGGGGATCATGGGGCCCCTGTGTCCTTGCCCGAACTCAAAAAAGCCTATGAAAAATGTAGCAGGGGCATCTCATGGGGCCCCCTACTGACCCCGGGCCCTCGGGCAGTGCCCGAGTTTCCAAATGGTCAGTCCGCCCCTGGTGGTGCCACGCAGTGGACAATCTACAGAAGGTGAGAGCCAGTCAGGAACTTCCACTGCTTTAGTGCTGAGGAAGGAGACTAAGGTAAGTAGTTGATCTGTATGTTGCAGGCTGTTTATACTATGTGACAACATGTTATACTTATATTCAATCCTTTTCTCTATGTAGAAACTCCTGAAGAAGTGATACTGTCGTGAAACATGTCCAGTAACTACACTTGGTAATCACTTGGTAAGTGATTACCAATATCGACATTCGATTTATGTATTTTGATACCTTTACCGGGATAAGGTACATTTGTGTCAATTTTAATAATTTTTGACGAGTTTTGAATACTCTACCCTCCCTTTGGGGGTCTTGCATTCTTAGCGGAGTAATATGTATGTGATTGCTATGTAATGGTCTACATTTCTACAATAAAGTGATTTTAAAGGTTTCTTTGTTGCAGTGCCTCTAAAGTCCGCAATTGGCCTTTTGTATTTATTCTTCGGTTCATTCTACTTTGCTTGTAGGATATGTATTGTATCTATTAGGTGCATGCATCTATTCAAAATCTGAGAAAAGCACTGAACCAATCACATAGGTAAGAGTTGACATTTCTGTAGACAAAAAATTGATTGTTCTGGAAGTTTGGAAAACTATAACTGGTTTATATTTAAACATATAAAATGTATTTTTCTTCAAAAGTTCACAAGTTGGTAAAACTCCCTATACAGAAATACAGAAGTCTTGTGTCTTTAACCTCCCTGGCGGTCTGATTCTTTCCAATTTTTGGTGCTGAAAACGGTACCATTTTTTTGCATGGAAATATGTAGTTTTTTATTGTAGGCTGTAATTTTTAGGAATAACTCACTGAAATCTGTCCGAACAAGAGTCTAGTAAACATCCCGGGGAGGATAAAATTTGAAACACGAAATCATAAATTATAATTTAATAAATAATCATAAAAAATAATAATATAATAATAATAAATTTAATTCAATAATATAATCAAACCAAAAACACTGAAATGTGAAATACAGAGGCAAATTCGCACATCGCTGAGCAAAGTCGCAGAATCGTTTTCAGTGTCTGATGGCGAATTTCCCCCACAAATCATTATCACTCAATTCTGCAAGTGGTTTTGATTTACTATCGCTGTTCTCTAGCCGCTCTAAAACCGCTTTTGACGTAAAGGGACGCTTTTTGGACACCATGGACTTTTCTAAGTTTCCAGGCAGAAAGAACAGTCAAAATGCAGGCAGGGCGCCGGACAAAGCAGTCGGGACAAAATATATGAGAAATGCATTGAAACAGCAATGACAGCAAAAATGAAATTTTTAAAAAATTTCAAATTTGCCGCCGGTTCCGGCGCCTGTACGTCCCGACGTCACAGGGACCGGAACACGGAAGCCGGATGCCGGTATCGGCCGGAGGAGATGGCCGGAGACGCTGCAGGGGACGCATCGCGGGAGCGAAGGACAAGGTAAGCGCTGCAGGGACCCCCTGAGCAACGCCGCATGGTAAGCCCGAGTATAGCTCGGGGGGGGTTACCGCTTTTGGTACTGAAATTTTATCCTGAGCTACACTCGTGAGTACCGCTGAGGAGGTTACAGCATCCCAATGTTAACTACCACTATCACACTGTGGAGTGTATTCTTCATACATGTGCACAAAATATATGTGAAATGCATTGAAACAGCAATGACAGCAAAAATTACATTTTTAAAAAATTTTAAATTTCCTGCCAGTTCCGGCGCCCGTACGTCCCGACGTCACAGGGACCGGAACACGGAAGCCGGATGCCGGCATCGGCCGGAGGAGATGGCCGGGGACACATTGCCGAAGCGAAGGACAAGGTAAGTGCTGCAGGGACCCCCGGAGAACGCCGCATGGTAAGCCCGAGTGTAGCTCGGGGGGGTTACCGCTCTTGGTAATGAAATTTTACCCCGAGCTACACTCGGGAATACCGCCAGGGAGGTTAATATATCTGAATAACAATATTACTTTACTTTTTTGACAAAATATGAAAACACAACATAAACTATTCTGTCAGCATTATTTTTGCCTTCTGATATACATGAATAGTCTGCAGTACAAAGGTTAATTATGTAAACAAAAATACAGACAGATCTCAAATTATTTGAATGTGGAATTATATAATGCAGCAGTGTGGGTGTTACACAATTGAGCAGCTCTTATTTAACCTACATCGAGTAAATCAATTATTTTACAGATGGGGTAAATGCCTAAATAAATAATGTTTTCACAAACATGCACTAATGTATAGCAGAGTATTTTCTCAATTACATTCTGTGGATTGTACAATACATGGGGTACACTGAACATTTTCAAAGCTTTAGGGGAAATACATGCAAAGCATTTGTGGTTTTCTTCCAAGAAAATTATAAGTTACAAAAGCCGCTTCGAAGAACAACAAAATATGCTTCCGACCAAAAGGATTTATAAAGGCCTTAGTCTGAATTCACCCATCAAATCTAACAAGAGGCTTTTGTAGTCTTGTAAGGTATTTTCCTTTTTTTTTTTTTTTTTGAAGGAATCTAATTACGAAAGCATAAGAAATCCAAAAATAACCACTCTTATGTACAACAAACATGCTGTTTTGAGCACTTAGTTTCATATAATATATTCACATAATAAATATAGTATACTCAAGGACTTTATTGTGGAAATTAATTCCAACCAGGGGGGACTGGACTGACAACTCATGGGGCCCCCGGGCAATAGAGGATCATGGGGCCCCTGTGTCCTTGCCCAAACTCAAAAAAGCCTATGAAAAAGGTACCAGGGGCATCTCATGGGGCCCCCTACTGACCCCGGGCCTTCGGGCTGTGCCCGAGTTTCCAAATGGTCAGTCCGCCCCTGATTCCAACACATGCAAAGAAGGTCTAAAATACACTATATCTGTCACGCATACCTACAATCCATCATATTTGTGTTTTTTTGTAACTTGAAAAATATAAATATTGATTGCATTGACTGAAAGAAGCTGGCCAAGTCAACCTTAAACATTTTTACATTTCTCTTGTAATAAAAAAGTAGTAGAGAAAGGTTATGCAGTCAAATACGCATAAACGTACTCCAACAAGACTTGTAAAAGGGCTTGGATCCACCAAAATATCATTATGTTTTCTTTTTAATTGCCTTATAATTGGGAAGGTCCATCAATCTTCAAAAAATGCACAGGCTACTATGCAGGTATCCTCAAAGTAGGAGGGCTGAATTGCCAAGATTCTGATCCCCCTTCAATATGTCTCA